TCGTCTTCTCCCAACCCATTTTGCGAGCTGGTCGAAGTCGAGCAACAGTTTCAACAATCTCAATTAATTTTGAATGATAAAAATAACTTAAGAAAAATTTATAATTTTTATATGATAGAAGTATATGTCTAATTAATAAATACAAACAAAAACGTATTTTATATATGTGCAAATGCACAAGATCAAATACTAATTTGTAATAAAAGATTAGTTTTTTTTTCATTTTTGTAATACCATCCAAATTCACTTATGGGGTGAATAAAAATGTTAAGACAGACAACAAATTTCCACTTCTTTTAACTTAAACAACTATTAAAAGCTTTATATCCTAATTTTTTTTCTATGTATAATATTTAATGTCTTTTGAATTATTAAATAATGTGATTTATTAATCACAAAATTTTATCATGTTGTCCACATCTCTCACCGTTAAATATCAAAATTATTCTTTATTATATCCTTCGTTTCTCAAGTTAATGAAAAAGGTTTGAATTACATAAAGAGATGAGAGAAATGAATACAAGTAAATTATTTTATTTTAAATAGACCCGTGCTTTTGCACGGACTTCTTTTTTATATTAATGTAGAACTAGTACAACACCCGTGTATATCACGTGTGCTTGTTAAAAAATTATTCTTAAATTTTTTAAAATTAATGCGAAAACTATATTAAATTTAGTTTACTTTTTTTTTAAAAAAAAGTATATTACTATATATTTAGAATGATATGTGTTACTTATGACTTACATGTGTTATATTATATTAGTTCTTATAACTTATAACATAGAAATAGAACCACTTGAAATATAAATATATTAGTTGATAAATAATTTTATTTTTCTAATTAATATTAAAAATAATTTTATTATTGTTATAAAGATAAATATAAATTATTTTTTTATACATACAATATGGATGTTAAATCGAAACTCATCAAAAGAAGATTAATTTGATATATTACATATGTAAAACTGATAAAAAATACAAAAGTTAATAACTTTTAAAATATATATACAATTCAATAGTTACAATAAGGAATGGTATTAATACATGTAACATGACCATAAAAATCAACATATTTATGGTAATCCGAACCTAACTATTTTTTGTTTGGAATTAAATTAAAATTTATCCAAGCCTAATAACGAAGCATGTAATTTTGCCGCATATGATTCCGAATCACCAAAAACAGCCACGTAAGCTCAGCGCGTTCTGGATTAATACATAGGGGATGTCTCTGTCCTATGTATTGACTATTGGTGCTTCATAATGCTATATGTAGAATTATGGTGTTTCGTAATATATATCTCAAATTATAACAATCTAGATATGTGGTCTATGCATGATTATTATGACTTTTAAAATTTTTAAAAACATTTTATTAAATTAAATTATAAATATATTTAAAAGTTAATAACTTTACATTTGTTATCAGTTTTTTCACATTTAATATTTCCAATTATTCATGATTTGACAAGTTTCAATTTTCATTCATATTGCATATATTTTATAAGTAAATATTTTAATTCTTTTTAATAAAATTAAATCATCTTTTAATATTTAATACTAGTTAAAATTAAATGAAATTTATATTAATTAAAAAAGTTATCTATAAAGTCATTACATACGAGTTAAAAAATTATTATAATATAAGAATGATAAATCACGTGTGTGAAAAATCTCATTGTAAATATAAATCATAATGAAAATCATAAAATTTATTAGAAATATAAAAGAAAAAACCCTCTCTTACATTTTTTAAAAATATTAGAAAATTAAATATAAAATATATCTCTTATATATTTTTTTTTTTAATAATTTCAATATAAATTTTCTTAACCAGCACCAAAAATCCTAAGGTCCCGTTACGAAATGGTATCGCCAACATTTTTCACTATTAAATACACATTATAAGTTATGTTGTGTGAAAAATCAACGATTGCAAATACTGACGAGACCATTCCGTCAATGCACACTAAAGTTAACTTATAAAACAAACCCATTTTTGTTCCAGAATTTCAATTGTTCTTTTTCCTCGACGCCTCTCTATGCTTCAGTACTCGCTGTATAGCCTGTATTCTGCAACAGACAGTGTGATTTTCACACAGATTGAGAAGGTGTAAAAATCCTTCGCATATGAGTAAAATGTCGCCGGCAAAACTTCCCGTCGCCGTTTTGCATCTAACAAGAAAACAGCGCAAGCGTTTCAAACGGAAAGGTACAGCGCAATTTCCAACACGCGAACTGTTTGGTGCCGCCAATTAGAATTATCTGTTCAATTTTCTTTCTCTTGTTTGTGAAGTGAAAATCAAGGCCAAAAGGGTTGCGCAAAAGAAGAAGAAGAAGACGAGCCTGGAGGAGAGAGAAAACGTTACCCCTCTCGTGAAGAAGTACTGGCTCCAAAGGTACAATCTTTTCTCCAGATACGACGAGGGCGTCAAGCTGGATGAAGAGGGCTGGTTCTCCGTCACGCCGGAGGAAATCGCCGCTGGCCAGGCCCGCCGGTGCGTCGGCGCCGGCGTCGTCATTGACGCATTCGCCGGCGTTGGGGGAAACGCCATTCAGTTCGCCAAAGTGTGAGTCAGTTGTATTGTCACTGTAGAGATAATTTATGCATATATGGGTTGCAGGGTATTATGAATGTTGTGTACTGCTGCTTTACTTTTCTGTAACTTTTGAATTAGGTTTTGGGGATTTAGAGTGATGCCAGTTGCTCCACTTTCCTAAAAAATGCAGCAAAATGTGAAGTATCTTTACCTAGGCACATGATTGCTTTGTGTATGATTGTAGATGAATGTTTGTAGCCGGGTTATTATGGTTCTACTTGTTGTGTTATTTGCTATTAAGTTCGCAGCTGAGCACTTAATTTAACACCATGCATAGATGTTTGCTTTTCTGTAACTTCGTAACTGTGATTTGGGGATTTGGAATAATGCCAGTAGCTCCACTTTCCTTGCTTAAGAAATGCAGCTAAGTATGAAGTGTTTTTATCAGGGCAAAGGGTTGCTGTGTGTATGATTATAGATGAATGTTTGTAGAGGGGCTATTATGGTTCTACTTGTTGTGGTATTTGATATTAAGTTATGGTGTGCAGTTGAGCACTTGATTAACACCATGTTTATGTGGTCAGGTGCCGTCGTGTTGTTGCTGTTGAAATAGACCCGAACAAGGTGGCTCTCGCGATTCATAATGCTAAGATTTATGGTGTACGAGATAATATTGATTTCATCGTTGGGGATTTCTTCCAGCTTGCACCTTCTTTGGAGGTTTTTTTTTTTTTTTTTTTTTT